ACAGTTTCTTATCTTCATACGTGGAACAGGGTCTCCTGCCGGAAAGCCAGTGTGGTCTCAGACGTCATAGCCTGACCACTGACATGATCTTCGCCGCCCGCCAACTGCACGAGAAGTGTCAGGAAATGCGGCCCCTCGTGGATCTGACGAAAACCTTCGACACGGCGAATTGCAAAAAACTGTGAAAAATCAAGAAGAAATTAGGCTGTCCGAACTACTCACTCAGCTGGTTCGTCCGTTCCACGATGACATGATGGCACGAGCCAAGGACAATGGAGTTGTCTCAGAGGAATTCACAGTGACCAAGGGAGTGAAGTAGGGCTGCGTTCTCGCACCTAACCTCCTTAGCCTCATGTTCTCTGCCATGTTGATGGACGCCAACCGTGATGAACTCCCCGAGATCCACCTCGCCTACAGGACGGGCGGTCAACTCATCAACTACCGGCGGCTGCACTTCCAGTCGCATGTATCCACAACTACTGTCCACGAACTTCTCTTCGCCGATGACTGCGCCCACAATGCAACTACTGAAGAGTACATGCAAAGGAACTTGGACCTCTTCACCGCCGCCTGCGACAAATTCGGCCTGCTCACCAACACGGAGAAGACGGTGGTCATGCACCAATCGCCACCCGACGCGGCCTACGTCGCGCCCCAACTCAACGTGAATGGTGCCCAACTGCAAGTGGTGGACAACGTCACCTACATGGGCAGCACCCTCTCCCGTAGCATCAAGATCGACGATGAAGTGGCCCGCCGGATCTCAAAAGCCAGCCATGCCTTCGGCCGTCTGCGAAACGCAGTTTGAAAGCAACAGGTCTCTGCCATTCCGTGGGATCCGGGCCAGGTGTGACGGCACGCCTAGGGGCGGCTTCGGCCACGCCAGTCCCCTTTTGTTGTTGTTTAAAATGCTGATCCTCTGCTGTGTGGACCAGGGGGCGTGGGATGGAGCGCCAACGTGCGGACTCGACCGTGTCATCCACCTGCGCCCTCCTCCGCTTCAGGTCTTCTTGACTCTGTCTTCACACCGGATCCAGGTGGAAAAGGAGGAGGAGGAGGAGGAGATAGTGTGGTAGATGCTGCACAAATCTACCACCGCAATATGTTACTTCACACACAAGTCGTCGTCCTTGCTCCACCTGGTCGTGGAACTAACGGTGGACATCGTCGGAAGCGACGGTCGAACTACCATGTGGAAAAGAGGAGTGGGCAAAATTTGTCTTATCTTTCATTTCAACATTTTCATCGAAAACCTGCATTTACCATAGTTTTGTGCACAAGGTAATTTCCTTCTCTCTGTGGGGCTGGAAACTCGAAACATGCGGCCCACAGAACAGTCAGTTAAACCGAAAACGTCGAACAATATTACCCATTCGTCAGCATTTGTTCGCGTTCATGATTGAAGCACCTATTTATACTTGAAAAATGTGGCCCAAACCAGTTACCACACTTTGTTGCGCGACATGACGTTTGTTTGCAATATTTCGCGACTGGGTTTATGCCGTCAGATGGAATAAAAAACACCTACGGAGAATTGTTTTTTAGGCTCTCCCGTCACGAAATGACAGAACCACCACCTCAGCCACACGATCTAGCCAAAAGAAAATATTCTTTGGTGTTTGGCTCGTTGCAAATAGGAAAGTAATATAGACAAAAACATGAATCTGTTTGTCTGCACCAAACGTGACATTGCGCTGTCTAAAAACGAAAAGAAAGGGCTGTAAGAAATGGGTTTAAAAGACAAACAGAACACTGAACGGACTGTCAGAATTAACGCTCAATTTATAAAGAATTATCCCATTCTCATTATTTTCGTGAGTGAGGATTTAAAACTATTTTTGAAAACATGCGGCTTGCGTAAGAGTCTCACAGCGGCAAGTCAACAGTGACGTTCAGAAATACAAAATTAGAAGACTATTTGGCGAATATACCTCTGCTTTCGAGAAATCCTCATTAATCCAGTTTGTTTAGATGGGAAAGGGGAACAAGTAAAACATGTGAGTGATAAGAGGAATCAACTAATGTTTGTCTTTTTACACAAGAGGGTGTGAGGACATGCGTGGGGGGTAATTAGAAGCAGTAAGCTAGGAGAAGCCAGGGTCATGAAGAGACGCGTTGGGAAGGGGGAAAAGAGGGGGGGCATAGGAATTTGAATGCAGTTAACTCTCCCCAGGCACTGGCAATTCCGAAGCTGCACGAGGTTCTTGTGTTTACATATGTTGTTGATTTTGGAGTAACATGTGGACCAAAACGAAGCTGTTCGTGTGATTTACAAGGTCCCACCGAATTACACTAAGTCACTGGGTTAGCATGTGCTAGTAGCATGAGATGCGACTGCCATCCAGTTACGCAAGTTGGTTTGTGCTCAGGGAGAACCTCCCGCAGCTCCGCGTTTACCATGCCAAGGGCCGGCTAACTGCATGCACTCCTCCGCGCCCTCCCCTGCATGTCCCCTAACTCATTGCCTCCCCCTATCCCCAAGACCCTCCTTGTGCTGAGAAGACGAGCACTAATCGATTTTTATTATCATTCAGGCAGGAATGAAAGTTGCCCTTTCTTCAAATGTAATATTCTGATGAACACGTAAGTTTCCAGTAGATGACGGGAATAAAATGAATTTTTGGCGCTTTCTCTAAATTACATTTGAATATATAAGTGCATCGAAAATCAATGAAGTAAAATTCAGAAAATTCGTATAAACGAACTGACCTGGTGAGAGTTTATTGAAAGCAATCGCACACTCGTCAAATAATCCTCTGAATATAAAAGTAAATAAAGAAAACAGGAATTTATGAGACATTTTGAAGTGATATGGAGTTTGAAGTGATGAGTACATGCAAGTCTACTGGCGGACAGAAGAAAGGAGCGCCCACCCCTGTCAACATACAGTAGGTGGGCTAACTCATGAAATGTCAACCGAAATTCCGAAATGCGTTTCCGTTTCGAAAGGATTAATTAAATACGGTTCTAAAACTAACCAGCCTGCAGCATATTTCTATCATAAGTAAGTTACCCCAGGATGCCAGCTTTCGACGGAACTTCTTCGCGGTTGCATGCAAAGACTATACTCCTTAAAAAATGACTACTTAATTAGCATAGATTTTTCTCATTGATTTTCCATGCCCCTAAAAGTCCAATTATATTTCATAGAAAACATGCATAAAAATATTTATTCTTTTGCTCATTCGGTAGACGATTACGTCTTCTTTCAATCTCATACTCGAAGGAAGGGCATAAATCGGTTTTCAAAAACTTTTTCAACTCCCGAATAATGTTGAACCCGTTCTGCTGTCACACTTGGAATGTGGGTTTCCAAACTACAAGCCGTCTATTTTCCGCGTACGGAAAACCACACATTTCTCTACGGTACTAAAGGGAAACCATATAGCGTTCATAAAATTCAGCAGTGGATTTGAGCCATGTTGTTAGCTTTACGAGCCACATTGGTAAATGCAGAAACATGACGTTTTATGAGCTGCCATTTCACGGTATTAGAAAATCTCCCAATTAAAAACCGAATTATACCCTTCCTTTGAGTATAAAATTGAAAGAAGACGTGATTTTCTATCGAATAAGTAAAATAATATTTTTAGGCACGTTTTCCATGAAATGTAATTGAACTTTCAGGAGCATCGAAAATCGATGAGAAAAATTCATGCTAATTAATTAGTCATTTTTGCAGAGTGTAGTTTTCGCATGAAACCGGGAAGAGGTTTCATCGAAAGCTGGCATCCCGAGGTAACCGAATTATGATAGAAATATGCTGCAGGCTGATTATTTTTAGAACCTCACTTCATCAATCTTTTCGAATCGAAAACGCATTTCAGATTGTCGGTTGACATCTCATGAAACCCTGAATGCAAGTGTAACAGCAGGTCGGGTTCAAAATTATTCGGGAATTAGATAAGTTTTTTTAAAACCGAATTATACTCTTCTTTTGAGTATGAAATTGGAAGAAGACGTGATTTTCTTCCGAATAAGTAAAAGAATGAATATTTTTATGCATGTTTTCTATGAAATATAATTTAATTTTCAAGGGCATCAAAAATCAATGAGAAAATTGCATGCTACATAAGTAGTCATATTTTGCAGAGTATAGATCTTGCATGCAGCCGGAAATAAGTTTTTTCGAAAGCCGACACCCTGAGGTAACTGGATCATTATAGATTTATGCTGCGTCATGATTAGTTTTACAACACTACTTAATTTATCTTTCCGAAACGAGAACGCAATTCGAAATATTGGTTGACATTTCATAAGTTAGCACATCTACTGTATTTCGGAATACTAGTACTGTTTAGGCCTCTTTGGCCTCTTGATTTGATTTCAAATCTCAGGCGCACCTTCGCCTGCCTTGTTTGTGACCCACTCCTGAGAGTTAAGAGCCGGTTTTTGAAGTCCATAACCCTTCAGCGAAAAGGCGCTTACTGTGAAGATAGTCCAGATCAGTGTCGCCCACACTTCTTAGGCTCGTCTCACATCCCATGAGACGAAGTGTAAATCAGACAGACTTGCAAAAATTGCGATCGGCACTTAAATCTTGGTAGCACTTACTTAAGGTGTTCTAATCTGGGCACTTTTGATAGCAGCGAACAGAAAATTATATTTCGGTCCACTGAGGAAACGTATGAGGTGTTTTTTCCAAGTAAATAAATAAAAAGTGGGGATTAGTGGTTGAGAAAGCAAATCCAACAGCATGCATATGCAAAATTCACTGCAACAGCATGACCTGCACTGCGTTCTCATTCTAGTAAACATGCGGTCTCTGGATAGAGATATACAATGCAGAAGTTTGGACACGGGATTATGGACTTCCCGTATTACAGGTGGTCTCGCGCCAAACCCCAGAGAAGGTACATACTCCCTTGTCCTAACTTTGACAATAATCCTAATACTAAGCCTAGCCCCTTTGGATTTTAGAGGAAGGCCAGTTCTAATGCGGCCAAACATGCTGAGAAATTTTACTTAACAGAAAACGCCTTGTGGACCAGATTATTTTCAAGATTGGAGAGACTTGCTCCTTCGTTCATCGTTAGGCATTTTTTTACATTTTCTGTCCTCTTGATACTGTTATGGTAAGACCGGATAGAATTTCTTCTCATCCTCTAAAGTTTTTAAGATGCAAAAAGAACTTCTCCGTAAGCTTGATTTACGTGACAGTCTAAAGGATGTTACTACATTAATAACAAAAAGAGATTGTCAGACTAAATGACCTGTCTGTAAGTCAGCTTTTTACCTCTTCTTCTTCTCCTTCTTTTCCTCCTTCCTCTGCTGAAATTAGGAGGAATCTTAAGCGTCTCACTGGCCGTCATAGCACACTTTAACAAGTGGATGCTGATTTAGAATCCTTAAATGACAATTTTGTCTTTAGTCACAATTACTCCCACTTTCCTTTAAACGGCATTCCCCTACCAATATTGTCTTCTCACCTGTGTCTGTGGCAAGAGTAGAGAAACACCTTAAAATTGTCCGCGGGTCAACAGCTGCCGGGCCGGATGGCGTTTCACCTTTTCTTCTTAAATCTTGCTGTTCTTAGGCAGCACCATATTAGTATGTCTTGCATGGACCCAAGATTCTTGACGCCTGGCGTACAGTAAGAATCAAGCCGATTCCTAAAAAACCGCAAATTTTGGTCGTAAATCCTTTTGTCCAAATGCCTGCTCTTCCGCACTACCGAAGCTTGCTGAACGAATTGCTCTGGACATTATAAGGTCATTCTCTTCCAGTTTTCCTGAGTCTTTGCAATTTGCAAATAAGACCAAGCGTAAAATCTTAGATTCTGTTGCTCTTGTGATCCATTCTGCCCTA